GACTCGCAAGAAAATAATGGAACTTGTTTTAGAAATTTTAATGCATCCAGTATTTAGCCCAGACTCCCCATAAATCGCATAACAATGATTTCTTTCATTCTCTGCAAAACTCTTTTAAAGGTACAAAATTGATTGACAGCAGAGCGAGCCACTGAAATCGCTTGTCTAATTTATCCGTTAATAAACCACAGTAGTTTCACATCCATAGAATTATAAAACTACCCAAAAAATGGCAAGAGGTCATAAGTAAGAATGACCAATAATTACTTGAATAAAACTTATCTCCAATAAAAAAATTTTTTGTATGAAAAAACCGCAGATACTTTTTATATAAAGCATTCCAATATTCAGTTTATAGTATATAATTTATTTATATTCAAATGCCACTTCTCAAATTACCCAGTCGCATATCATATTTTCACTCTCCTGCTCCTCTAAAAGCGCTTAGTGCAAACCGATCTACACAAGTAGCGATCTACGAGTACAGGTTTCTGGTTTCTTCCATCTTTTTGGATGGCTATAATCTATTTCGTTAACCATTTTCAAAAACTTCAGTTTGAAGTATTGCATCTTATTACTTAAAAAATTTACATCTCATTTTATTCCAATACTTGTTAAATAATATAGTAATTTTTTTTCTATTTTTTAATTTCATTTTTAGGATGGCATCTCCAAAATGTGAAGTGTAAAAATTGAAGCTTGGTATTAAAATTATTCGTTGCAATGATTTATAGCACAATTTTGCACACACCCATAGGAGGCTTCAACCTGTCTGCGATACTATGATTTTCCACTAAAATCGACAAAAATATTTCAAATTTCTGTCAGTCAATTACTCAATTCCGTGGCATCAGCTTAACACTTCAGCCATCACACATGGCTCTTCGGGTTTCAACCAACTTAAAGACCACAACGAAAATGTTAAATATTTTTTGTTCACTTTTTAGTGGCATTTGCACTCCAAAAACCAAAGCTGATCTCTTGTGATGGACGGACAATAAGTGATTTTTATGGGAAACTATGAAAACCACTAATAGATTTGATTCGACGTGCTCTTTTTGGTAATAATCTGTACTGATTTATTTCGCAATCATTATATTATTTAGCAATATAAGCCGTAAGCTTCATGAGTTAAAGATGAGCTCATGACAATAAATTAGTCTCGTCTTGACTTAAACGCATAAAATTTTAAAAGTTGATATATGTAAAAATATTGGATGGATGAATAAATGACATCTTAATTTGAAATAAGGTGGCATCATTGTTTTAAAGCATTGCAACAATTTGACAGAAAATAATAGAATTTAGTTTTTGATACATATAATATTGATAACTTTATTTACAATTAAAATATGTTACATGTAAAATTAAGTTTTTATTTTATTTGTTTGTAAACCTACATTTTTATAAAAAAAAACTGTGGCAAATTGTCATTCAAGTTGCGCTCTCTCTTGCTCAAATTTAATCTAGCGACCGAACAATGTTCACATTCAAAAATTATCATTCAAGCAAAATTTTTGAAGAATAAGGGTGTTTACGCACGCTGTAAGTGTGTTTCGCACTCTGAAAGTGTGTTTCGCACGCTCTAAGTATGTTTCGCGCGCTCTAAGTGTGTTAGTGCAAACAAAAATATGCTATTGAATGACGAATGTAAGTTTTTGGGTGACAGACTATCATTCACAACATGTTGGCGAGAAGCTGAATGACCAAAATTTTGGTCAGCACGCCAACATATTGGTTGCGTAGATAATCTGCATCTCGCTTAAATCTATTTACTCATATTTTTGGTATGATAACATAAAAAGTTAAGTTCTATAAACATTGTGTCAGAAAATATGGCAATACTATTTTCGATATAAAGTTAATACTGGACTCACACAAGAGTTTTGATTGCAATTTTTGCTGCTAAAGATTTTAAACTGACATCTGATATCAAAAGGCAAAAATATCAATTCACACGACGTGTCATTGTTATTTGTCGTAAAAAAAATCTATTATCCCAATACATAGTTTTAGTTAATTGTTGCTGCTCGGACTTATACAACGCGGAAAAGCATGGCGTTGGAAAGTTGAGATTTCGCAGTAAAAAAATCTTTTGACAGTTGCATAATTGGTTTATTCAGTTTTGTTTAAGCGCGTCCATCAAAGACTAGCAAAGAAGATATACGCCATATTTAACAGGGTAGAAATTTATGGGCCGCAGTTGAAACAATCGAAAACGCTTAACAAAAACATAAGAATCTTTCAAGCGAAATATCTACGCTATATACAGATATGTTCATTCCAATGTTCAGCGTAACTATTACAATCCAGTATTAACTATCCTAACTCATAGCAACTCAGCAATCAAGACTTTTCATTTTCAATAGATGACGAAAAGACAGTTACGACTTGGTCCCAAATAATCACGTATGAGACTTAAGATCAGTTTAAAATTGCCTGTAATGAAATGCTTTTTACGTGTCTGAAAACTGGTACATCGGAACCAATTTTCTTTTCTTTATCAGTTAAAAAGAAGAAGAGGCACAGATAAGACTATACTCTGATAATCTACCATTATTTATCTATGAGTATATAACTGTGTAGCTATGTATCTATGTAACAGTGTATTTTAAAAACATCTTTTAAATATTATTTCAAATAAAACTCAACAAAAATCTTATTTCTAAAATACTAATTTTATTATTAAAATTTATTTCAGAAGCAGCAAACAGCGAAGACAATGAATTAATGAGTCAAAGCTGTCTCTTGAAAGCTAAGACCCTGCAGCAGTTGACATCGCTACGCAATGTCACTGGTTATTAATAAAACAGAGTTGGAGAGATAATCACAGACACTTCAGCGTCATTGCTTAATTGATTTTAATAAATGTAGCAAATTGAGCCATTAATTACCTTGGCACCTTCACCGCAGAGATTCTTACCGATGCGCAACACATCCGCATACGTAAGAACGTAGCGACGTAGCGAATGAGAGTTTATGGATTTGCCAGCTGTGCACCGAAACTGAGCGTGTGAATCTAAACACGTTTGGCTTAAGTTACTTGGATTGAAAGATAAAAATACATTTTATTTACAACAAAATATTTTGTTTTGACTAAAACTCTTTGGATATTTCCCAAACTTCAACTGACTTACTGCTTGTCAATGCATCCCAAAACGGAAGTTAGAAATGTAAATGTCATCAAAATAAGATTCTACGAAGAAATTATTTTTTTTTACTTGAGCATAATTGCTTGAAGTTAGTATGTCAAAGTCTAGTTTTTCTAGGATTTGTCATTCGGAAAATTTGCCACAATAGATCGTGATTTTCCTATAACATGAATTTATTATTGAAATGACTCGAATTTATTCATAAAGTCAATAGCAAATATCTTAATAAAGTGCTTTATTGCAGAACCGTTTAACGCTATTTAACGATCTGCACCACATACCGGAACATTACGTACTTACTGCTGTCCTTCTCTCCTAAGTAGAGCATATCGCCACAGAATATGCTCTCAATATTTTTGTTCAAGAAGTGATGGTTCAATTATTAACATTAAAGTGCTCACCACTTTTAATTGGCCACTATCTTAAACTAAAATAGAAATAATCAATGTCCTACTTATGATCTACTATTGTATCGTTTTCAAAAAAAGAGAAGCTCTCTTTTCATTATAGAACATTACTCCACACGTTCTTATAGGAATAATCATCTCACCAAATAGTTTTTAAATTTTTTGTTGTTGCTTATTCTTCCACATAATCTCTTTTTGATTTGGAAAAATTTGCCCAATTATGATTCAACTTCTTTTATACCTGTTAATAGTGCCCTGCTTTAATATCATCAAAACTCCCACTCACCACAGATACCACCTCTTTATTAATGTCCCTCTTGACGAAGGGACCATTACCGAATGAGATTTGTTTTCGTTATGAAATGTTGCTTCACACATTTAAAAGTGCAAACATCACCTTGGTTATGCCCATATATAGAATATAGAATATAGTTCACGTTAAGTTAGGTTTTATCGGTGATCCCTGGTGAATCTACTTACGCTTATTGGCCCATTGTGTTACCGTATATGTAGGAAAAACTCAGGGTTTGAAATCACCTAGAACCTTTAGCGAAGCCAAAATATGTACAATATAAGGTGTTATAATTTTTTAGTTAATTATTTTTTGACATAATCTCTTTACTGACAGTGGCTATAAACCCTTTATTTGACTAAGCAACTGTTATCTCATAGGGTCTCTTTTCATTATGAAATATAACGATCCCTGGTGAATCTTCTTACGCTTATTGACCCATTGTGTTACCGTATATGTAATCTCTTCACTGACAGTGGGTATAAACCCATTATTTGACTAAGCAACTATTATCTCATGGGTTCATGGTTATCTTTTCATTATGAAATATAACTTTACATACACTTGTATGGATAGCCCTCTCATTAAATGCTTCTTTTTCACCTCGTTCCTGAGATTATTGTAAAAAAACAACAACCGGACAATGACCCATTAAACAAATGCTCAATAAGTATTAAAACTTTCATATAACTCTTGTCCGTTTTACTATATAAAAACCTTAATATTCCCTTCCTGTATTCTTCGCATTCAAAAGAATATTTGCAATACAAATTGAAAATTAAAGTAAATAAATTATTTCTACGCCCACTGCCAAGAAATCAATTACTTTTTTTTTAATAAAATGTTTCATAAAAATGATTTAAGCCGATCAATTTCAACTCCACCGAACCGAATACACTTGCCAATCCATAATCTTCTTGTTAATCGCAGAACAAACAGAGAAAATGATTTAATTTATTATTTTTAGAGTCCAAAACTGAGTGACTTGCGACTTGCAAAAGGTGGACAGACGTGTGCGTCCATTATTAGAAACAGCCAGAAGCGATCAATACATCATCGTTCGAGCGACTTAGAACCACAAAAAGTTGCAAAACAAATTCTTTACATAAACTTTTTTTATTTATTTTTGTTAATACTCATATACGAGCATTTTGTTGATATAAAAATAAATATGGGTTGACCTTGATATCTGCAAATCCCGGCTGGAGTCCAAAAGTAGCATGCAAAATATTTAATTTTAAGCTTTAAGTCATTTATCAAAATTAAATCTACTTGAGATTGGCGTCTCAGTTAATTTGAGCCCAACTCACCTAATCACCTAAATTGTTGTATGATAAAAATAATATCAATTATTTAAAAATAAATTAAAAACTCACCTCGTGGCGGAAAATCATTTAAATATTGAGCAAATGGAAGCGGTTGTGGTATATAACAACTAAAACCCTTGTAAAGAATGTTAAAGTGAAGACATAAACCCATAATTTGCACGTAAGAAATTGCCTAAATTCATCACTGCAGATTTCAGCTGTGGTGAAAAACAAAAAAAAAATTAAATAAGGGAATTCACATTTTAATTGTGCTTTAAAAGTGATAACAATGTTTCGTGTTTTAATGAAATATTTGTTAAAAATATTAAAATATTACTTACGATACGCATTTTTGCATATAAAGTTTAATAAAACCAAAAATATTAGCATAATTTGAAATTTTAAAAGAAGGACCAAATATATATTTTTACAAAATATAATTGACGCAATTCCTAAAAATTTCATATAATTAACAATTTTTGAAGAGTAAACTAGATTGTTTTTTTTTAAAACGTCATATATACTGAAATTGTTTTTTTTTTTAAAAATATATCAAGGTACATCCACACCAAAGCGAACACATGCGAACGAAGAAATGAACATTTGCAGGTGTAACATACGACGAAGCAAACGCGAACGAATCGATTTGTAGTGTTTATTAGTATTTAGCATGATTTGCTTACATTTGCTAGGTGATCTGACGATTACTAAACACAATAGGATGTTCGCACAATTTTATTAGACTGTGGTTACATTGCATGCGAATTTTGTCTTGCGTGTTCGTACGAACAAATCAAATGTATTAATCGTATGTGAGTGATTACAGTACTTAAGAACAATTCGCGCGATGAATTGTCTTTGCGATTTTCTAATTTCTTTGTTTGAGGAATTGACAAACTTTCCATTTTTTACCTTGAAGAACAAAAATCGTGCTCCCAAATTAATATTTCCTATTTGGAATTAATAAGTAACTTGATAATGAGTTTTCAGCTAAATATATTTTGTCTTTACTATCCATTTTGTTCTCAAAGCAAACCAAACAGAACTGTCAATTCGCAAGCAATGTAACCGCAACATGCGATTTGTTAGAATGAGAAAACATATGTACGAATACGCAAGACAAAATTAGCATGCAATATAACCGCAGCCTTGCAAGTTTTCATTCGTTCGCTTAGTTTGCTATAAGGACGTACATGTGCAAACGTTCGTTCGCTCATATTCGCTTTGATGTGGACGTGGCTTTATGAAACTTCAATCAAATTTGCTTTATTAAATACACAAACCTTTTTCACAGTTTTTTTTGTTTTTATACCAAAATCACATTTTGAGAATTTTTTTAAATATTCTATTGTATACATCCTTAACACTAACTAGTAAGCTTCAATTTTAGTACTCTAAAAATTATAAATATAATTAAATTCACTTTGTTTAAATTACTTTTAAAAATTATTAAAAAACTAAATTCATAACTTGAAAAACAAAACATTTTATGAAATATTTTTAATGATTCTCCGTTAAACATAAAAAAACGTTTTTAAACACCGGCAGATATAATTACAGACATGAACCATTTGGGAGTAATTGAAAATGTAAGTTTAGCATTGCCAAACTTAAGGGACGTAACAATATTAATTGTATTTATTTTAATATTTATTATATTAGATTAGATTTTAACGTGAATACGACAGTAGCGACTATAGTACTTAATATAAACTAATGTGTTTAATAAAGAGATTTCAAGAAGTAGTGAGCTACAACACTAAAAATTCTTTTTATATTATATTAATTTTTTTTTCGTTGGTTTATTTATTGTATTTTTCTAAATAGAAATTTACAATAATTTTGCGTACCTTAAAAAAATAACATTTATGCTATTGAGTACGGGTATTCATATTTATCAATGATTTTGTTTTAAGTTATTATATTAATTAATTAAATTTTTGACTGACCAGCTGTTTAGACCGTAAAATGGCAAAAACTGTATTTTCAGCCACGAAGTTCATGGTTACCATTCTTTGGACACTATAACGATATTTAGCTTTGATTCTATGAAGAATATTAGTGAACTCAACTGTTTCAAGTAACTTTCTCCGCTACACTGTATGTTGATATTGAAGTTGAAGAATGAAGTATTTCGGTCGTGTGCGAGTTAGGCTAAGTTGCGTTCTAAATGAGGGAAATTCTAAGTTGAGCCGATAATGTAGTGATGTGTCGATACGTGTTGATAAATGGCTAAATGTGTGCAGTGCAAAAAATCCCAAAAAAACTCCCATTTGGTTTAGCATCAACTTAGCCTAACTCGCACACGACCTTCCTACTTCACATAAATAACACTTATAAAAGTTTATTATTGTTAATCGTTTATTGTTAATATATATATATATATATATATATATATATATATATATGTATATGTTATTATGTTATATATATAAATATAGTTATTTAAACAAAAAAAAACGCAATGTTTCTTAATATTTTTATTAAACTTCAAACTTTTATTAAATTAAAAACTACTTCAGTCAAAAAATAAAATTTAGTCTTTATGAATTTATGTTTAACTTTAACTTTGCAAACTTATCAAATTTATCAAACTCTCCTATTTTTTACTTTTTCTCTTCTTCTTATCTTGCTTTAATTTCAATCTTTGCTTTTATTTCACTGCCTTTTATCCCCTATTACTCTACTTTATCTACATATACATATATTCATTCATAACAATGAATGTAAAAATTTCATATACCAGACCCAATTAGAAATCATAACTACTATTTGTTTATATAAAATTTGAAAGTCGTCATCTACAGACTTGTTATCTACAAGCGAAGACCCGAAGGCAGACACTTTCCTAACTCCGCTGTCTATAAATCTTTTATTTTCACGAAGTCTGAAATTAATGAACATTTCAAATGCAACTATGTGTAAGATAAATTTTAAGCAAAAGATAAAATTGAGATAACGATAAAGTGACATGTTTATTAAATAAATATCAGTGACAGTTGATTTTAATAAAACCGAAAAAACTGTTATTAATTTAAAATAGAGTGAAAAATAATAATTTGCATCCCTGAAATCCACTAAAGCTAATAAAACTACTGAATGCCATCCTTTATAATTAAAATAAACAACTTTTAAAAATTCCCAGATACAAATGGTGTTTGGAGCATGTAATTTTTAATATACGATTAGTAAACAAAAAACATATGATTTCCTTAATTTGGGGCAGTATAAACACTTTTGAAATTAACTTAATTTCATTTTTACGAAATTAACGTAATTTGGCTGTCTGAACATGGTACAAAAAGAATTAATAATAATGATAGCAATAATAATTTTGTTCCTTTTATATTTTATCACAAAGCAACTCTTAAGCAGAATTTTTTCTCAGTCATCCATACAAACAAAAGTGCACACTTCGTTGCTTTTTTGTTGGCATTTAAAAAGAGAGAGAAAGAAAAGATGAGAAAAAATTTGCTACAATTTGAATTTTTAGTTGATTTTCTGTTTTCGTTGTTGGTAGTCGTTTTCGCAGTTAATATTGTCGTTCGGTGAAATTCGCTTGTTAGGCAAAAAAAAAAAATTATTTACCAAACAGTGGATGTGTGTTTATTTTAACAAAAAGTAAATAAAAAAAATTTTTTTTAAATTGTGCTCATTCATTGGAATAATTAAAAAATTTCTGCAAAACACAACATAAAATTGACTGGAACCAAGAATCAGGTTTTTAAATTAATTTATTATTAATAATAATTTATTTATATATTATTGCATTTCCATATATGTAAATATTGTTAATTGTGTAATCGCATGCATATTTTATATAAATTTCTTTTTTTTCTTTAAAAAAAACGTTCTATTATAACGCGCCTTTTGTGCGCCATGAATACGAAATTTTTATTTATTTTTTTTTTTTTATTTGGAAGAGTTCAAGTTAAAAGTTGTCCAAAATTAATTTATGCGCCAACACACGTTCTACGAGTTTCTCCTTTAAGTGTGCATTTATGACGTCATAGATGTGCTACATTACTGCTAACCATAAGCAATCGACACATATCTTTTTATATAAAAAATTTTCATAATTTTTTTTAAAAATTTTATCCACTTTTGCAAAATCAAAAAGAAAAGCAAAAATAAATTAAAAATTTTTGTGTTTTTCTTTATTCTTCTTTAGCGGTACGTCATTGTTTATTTTCTTATAAGTGGCTTAAGTATGTGTGTGTGTACGTATGTGTGTGAATGCTACGATCTTGTCACACAGTTCACATCTGGCACGGCTGCTTCTAATGTTAGCAGATTTTTTTGATTTTAATTTTAATTTTTTTTCTATCTAAAATCGCAACCATAAAATCGTCTGATCTCAATCGTTTACGTTCAATAGAATTTGGTTTATGGAGACAGACGACGCAACGACCTAAAGTGTCCGAACTTAAAGGCTTGTGAATTCATCTTTCGCTGCAATATTGGATTTATTTTCTCATATCGAACTCAACTCGAATATTTCAATAAAATCTTAAAGTTGAATAAAAAATTATTTATTTTTTTATTCAATAATTATTATTATTAAAAAGTTATTAATTATATTAAATTTGTTAAACAATAAACATTTAGCAGGTTGTGTTGAATGTATTATATCTTAACAGTATTCTTCTCAAGATCATTCGACGATCGTCATCATTAATTAACAATTTTTTTAATACCACAATTTATATTTCATTATTTAGGAAAAAGATTTTAATTATAATTAAAAATAATAATGTAGTTTTTTAATGTCTATTTGCATTATTTAACAATATTTAAATGATTTTAGTATTTATTATTATTTAATCCATACTACTCTTCTCGGATCCCATCAAAAGAGACCGTTTTAACACTGAAAGGGTTACTACTAATACATTTTCTCTGTCAATACCCGGCTTTGGCGTGCAAAAGATATAGGTTCTTAGGAAGATACTGGACGAATGACATCCTCAGGGACCTCAAGATTGATCCCATCAAAAAATACATAAAGGATAGAGCCCTGAAATTATTTGCGAAATCTGACAGACTTACTAACACCGCATTATCAAATCTCAAAATGGTTACAGGCTCCTCGGGGAGATATGCAGATCTGAGGTCAATTATTACTTAGTCTAATGAAGTGATAAACAATAATCCAGTCAAGGCGCAAAGAGGGGTTTTGTAGAAACCTCGCAGTTAATAGAGAGTAAAAGTGCTCAGGTGCACTGACTCAACTCAACTAGCCTCAACATAAATAGGAAGATACTTCTTTGATAGTTTATCAGACTGTTCATCGGTGAAGACAAAAGTTCTATTAAATTATCTAAATTCGGCGTGATGGATTTAGTCTCTACTCTTCTTGCGAGGACTGTGGTAACAAAACG